GGTACGTACCGTATTACTCGCATTGCTATTGGCTTTATTCGCTCATTCATACTACTACTATACGTCTATACGTTCTACACAACATGTACAACAGTACTAGTACACACAACACACTGTCCAGCTTTAATTCCTGTCCATTTCGATACATACATGTATATAACTGCATCCATGCTGCTGTCTTGATCGGCCATCAACTTGACGAGACGGTTTCTTGGATGTGCATGGCTACACTGGGGTCCATGCAAGGAGATAGCTAGCTAGTCGCCATTGTCGCATGCATGCAGTCGCCAACAACTTAACGTTGCAGCATGCATGCATTCAGTTTGCTACTAGAAAACACGTACGGCCCACCCTGTCCATCACCTGCGTGCTACCTAGCTGCTGACTGCTGTATGCGCAACCCGGCCAATCGATGAGCTAGCCTGCTGCTGCTGCTGCTGCATGGTGAGGCGCGTCGTTGGCCATGCATGCCTCGTCTTAGGCCGCGTTTAGATGCCATTTTTTTTTTGTTTTGGGTACTGTAGCCCGTTTATTTGTATTTGACAATTAGTGTCTAATTATGGACTAATTAGGTTCGAAAGTTTCGTCTCGCGATTTCTCACCCAACTGTGCAATTAGTTTTTTTGTCGTCTATATTTAGTACTCCATGCATGTGCCGCAAGATTCGATGTGATGGGTACTGCACAAATTTTTTTGGAATCTAAACATGCCCTTAATACATGTGTACAGCACACTGATTGGAGTCCATGCAAACCTGTAGCGAGATCTCGTAACATCCATCCACACATCGATCTAGATATACATACATACAAATAAGCTATGGGTAGTATATACATACATACACATATACTAGTATGCATTTGTAGTACGGGTGCAGTCAGCGCCCTGTCACTGAAGGCAAGACAAAACTGCAGCGACGACAGCACGCAATTCCTTTTTCAGCACACAACTGGTGGTGATAATAAAAAAACCAGCGTACTGGAAAGCCGCACACAAGGGTGCAGATACGAGCATGAGCCTTTGTACCTTGTGGTGTCCGCGAGCTCTTGGCATGGATGGAGAGCCTTTGTACCACGTACGGCCCACCTTGTCTGAGAAACAACAAAAAGAAGCAGTGGTGGAAGGAACACTTGAGAGACCTGCTGAGCTCTCAGCAGTCACATCCATTGCACTAGACACCACACTTTGACATCATCAGTAGCATGGATAGATCATTATATATGTCGTTTCATTTTCCCCATTATATATATTTTTTACTTGATTGGTGATTACATAGTACTAATAACAGTGGCTTACACCACGCCTGCAGAACGCCGTGGAGCGGCCGCCGAGGTTCGCCGGCGGGTGGACGGGCGCGTACGTGATCAACTCCTTCGTGGTGGCGTGGGTGCTGGTGGTCGGCTTCGGCTTCGGCGGCTGGGCCAGCATAACCAACTTCGTGCAGCAGGTCAACACCTTCGGCCTCTTCGCCAAGTGCTACCAGTGCCCGCCGCACCTCACTGCCCCGCCGGCGGCTCCCGCGGCCTTCGCGCCGCCACCAATGGCCCGGGCACCCTCCATGCCACCGGCGACGGCGTTCAATGCCACCGGCGGGCTCTTCTTCCCTCCGGTGCCAGCCCCGGCTCCGGCTCCGTCGCCGATGATCAACTTCTTCCTCCGCCACCACCACCACAGGCACCACGGCGGCCTCCACGGCCTGTGACGACGCGCTAGCGCTATATATGGCTCTGGCCGTGCATGCCGCCACGTACGGCAGATTAGTGTACTCGATCGATCCAGTTTGCAGTAGTAGTTTTAGTTAATTAGTTATTGGTCAGCACGCAGTAAGCTAAGGTGCAAGTGAGCCTGATTAGTAAAAGTTGTATGTCGTCAAATGCCCTCTCTTGTACGTTCAGATAAAAGATCGAGATCGAGATGGATGAGAGTCTGGCCGGTGACAAGCACGGCTAGGTACCTCTAGCTATATCATCATCATATGTACCCGTAGCAAGCATGCATGCATGCCAAGCATTGAGATGATACGTTTGGAGTCTCTTGTCCTGTACCGTGTCCTTGTGTGGAGCTGCTTTCGAGAAAGAGCTAAGCAGAAAAAGAAAAAGAAAAGCGAAATGGAATGTTGTTGTTATATTCTCCTCTCACTCACGCAGTCATATGCCGGCCTATGTTTTCTTGTCACTGCTTCACTGTGTACTAGTATAAAGGACGGAGCTTTGTTGAGCACTGTCGACACTGAGAAGTGGTGTGTGTACCTGAAACATGGTGAGAACCTTGTCCATATGTACAGGGTAAGTGGGGAACCGTATCATGAATTCTAATGCCAAGTGCTCTCCACTTTTTTTTTCCTTTTTTTTTTTGTGTGTGTTGAGAATCAAGTGCTCTCCACGCTAAACTTGAGTTCTGCGCACTGTTGTTGGACGGGGGTGCCGAATACACGGTGTCCGAGTAAATCGGAGAAAATAAAGGAGCTTGGCCTCCTTTTGATTGAAAATGAACCCCGTTTGATTGCGCTGCTGGGCCTGGTCTACAAACTTTTAGAGATGAAGAAGACTATACACATGCCAGTAGTGTAATGTAACATCCTTTAAGACGATATATATGTACACAGTACACACATACATTTTTTAATGTCATCATGTTGAGAAACAGAACACTCATACATTTTTTTAATTTCATCATATTGACAAACTGAACATAATTAACTTGTAAGACATCCAGTTCAGGTTTATCGAAAATTTTGAATCCACCACTACATGTAACTATAGGTGAAGTGCTTGGCGTTTTTCCACCAAATCTCTCTTAGTGCAGGGATCTTACATATCCTAAGTTAGTAGCTTGGAACAATCTGTTACCCCACATTAGCTACGTACTTGGACTATTCTACCGAAGGTGGCTTTGACTTGGTGGTCTTGGTCTTGCAGTAGTTGGTGCAGGACGAAGGATATTTTCTCCCGGACACATGGGTGGTGATCTAATCTACGAATTGAAAGTCACTGGAATGTGTCGATCTCCTTTTATTTTTGTGGTTGTGTGCCTCTTTGTTAGGTAGAGGCCGGAAGCACATTTTAAAGGCTTTGTATCATCTTGATGAAATGCTTTGAGAATTTAATAAAAGCTCCCTTTATAAAAAAATATCTATAGTTAATACTCCCTCCGTCCTAAAAAAAAGTGATGTTCTGTGATTTTTCAGACAAATTAGTGGAGAAGAGAAATGTCCCTAATACCCTTAGTATATCACACATAATTCCCTTAAAAAAGGATGTCACGTGGTTTACTTTCTAATTAAGACGCGTTGCATGCAAGTATGCAGAGATCCGAGGCAGGCAACAAACAGTAGCATATCTCAATTGGTGATTTGACGCCAGATCTGTGGGCCAACCGCGTGTCTAAAACTCAGAACATCATTTTTCTATGACAATTTTTAAATCATAGAACATCAACTTTTTTTGGGGATGGAGGGAGTATTAAAGAACTAAAATTTGTTTTTTATTTTTTGTCCACCTTACCAGCTCTATTTCCGTGTCCGCTTCTAGGTTGCTCCGTGTGTTTTCTATTTTTTTTTTGTTTTTCCCTATTTTTTTACAATGCAATCCATATGTTTCTGTTTTTTCACTCATAAATGTTAAAACAAATAATAAATAAAACATTATGGGTATTTGAGCCCTTGACCTTCCTCTAAGAAACAAACAAAAAAATTACCACTAGATTGTTAATGTAGTTTTGATTAAAAACAAAACTTAGTTTTTTTTGTGAATCACAGTACAACATGAACACTCGTACATGTCCATACACTCGGCCCTAACCTGGATTGACTGATGGTCCAATTAATCAAATTGTTAACTGAAATCTTAGGCAGTCTATTGTCTAATCCAGTCCAAATAAATGTATATATGCAAACCCCAATGAGGGTTGTCATGTGAAAAACCGAGAGATGTCTCTCATCATAATCATCAGCAGACAGATAAATTAATCCTAAACAGATCTGCATCTAACTCTTGCCAACTTTAATTAGAGATTAGAATTACAAATTTTTATGGGTCCTCAAAAAAAGTCATGGGACTGAATATTTAATTATATCATAGCAACACATGGATAGTATGAAACTTAAAGTTATAATATATCTACTTCTAAATATCTCTACATGTTTTGCAATAGAAGAAAAAACTATCAAGGTTGTATTTTAATTCGATACAAGCTTAATTAAGATGACATTGTCATATATTATTACCAACATTAACTTATATTATGGATTTCATTGTGAACGTAAAATAGATTATATATTTTAGATTTTATAGAAAGCATAAAAAATGTAAATAGACATATACTATTCTCATCTGGTTCCCATGAACCTTCGCTAGTTTTTTTCCTGTTGCAAAGCATAGGCATGTTTGCTAGTCAAGACATATTTCTGGTGTACTTACAAAATTAATTTGATATTGTAGAGGTGTTGTGTATTTTTCTAGGAACTTGCTCAAAGATAATAAAGAAATTTGGTTTAGGACAAAACTAATATCTCTTACATTTTGAAACGGAGGGGTGGTTGCTAATCCAAGTAGATCCTGGGATCGTTCTCGGCATCAGACTACTTTCACCAAAATTCTTTCACTGAAAAGCATGACCCGCACCACATAAGTTCATCTCCTTTTTCTTATCCTTGTACTACAAAAGTGTCAACCCTTGAGAAACTGCCGGCGCACACACGCTTGTCATTTTTGCAGCTTTGGGGCCGTGTTGACTGACTTCAGGGCCGGCGCCAACAAGCCAATGCCCCAGTTTCGTGGATCACACCCTTGGCATCTCCGCATCTCCATGGGCACTAGCTAGCTTGACAGCACTATATGAATGCTAACAATATATACCTCTATAAGCACCGGACACTATAAAATACCAACAAAATGCATCTTCACACCATCATATCACAACATAAGCAGCAGCAGCAGCAGCAAGACCCATAGTGATAACGAGAGTTTCACAACCCACCAAGCTCACGTACGTCCACCAAGATGGTTTCTGCTAGCAGCACCCTGCTGGCTACTGCAACGCTCCTCCTCCTCCTTTCTGCAGCTGGTGCGGCAGAAGCAGCAGCCACGCCCACACCTCCTCAAGCTCAGGCGGCGGCGGCCGCGGCGGGCGCAGCCTGCCATAACGACATCGTGGCCCTGCGAACCACCTGCTATGACTACGTCCAGGAGGGTGGTCGGACGCTGCCGCCGTCGTCCAACTGCTGCGCCACATTGATCAGCCTCACGAATGTTCCATGCGTCTGCGACTACCTAGGCTCCGACCTAGACATAGACCTGGACAAAGTGTTGTATGTCTGCAGGAGCTGTGGAGTCGCCATCCCCAGGGGATGTGGGGGTCAGTACCTTACTAGCTTTGCTTCCCTTGGGTCAGTGTCAGTATGCTCTAGCTACATGTGTCATTTACCATCGTCAGATAATCTCACACAGCTAGGTAGTTATTGACAAAGCTACGACAATAGCATGCTACAACTTACCAGTTACCACTAGGATGTAAAATAAAATGTTCAATTAGAATGTTGAAAACTGATGGTAGTTTCCTTCTTGCAGGTTTAATGCAGGTCTGAGACAGAGGACCGGCTGAAATGGAGAAGTTGGCGAACATAGGCGGCAGCTACTGATGTGCTCAGATTAACAATGAATGAATAAAGTTGGCCAACATTTAACTGGACGATGTTAGAGCAATATATATAAGAACTACATGTATGGATGTTCATCTATATATACATCTGCAATTTGTCACATAATGTGGTTCTGCATCAATGGTCAATGCTGTTAATAACCTATGGCTCATGAGACAACCGATCGAACTGTTTCAAAAAGTCCTAGTTCTAGTTCTTCTCCGGTTCACCAGCACAAATGCTTACAGAATGAAAGCACTACAAATACACAGTGAAATACTAAAAACATTCTCAACAAAGTAAATTCTATAGGAGAAAACGTAGTGAACTTTGTGAAACAGGATGGCACATTTCACAGTGCACAAATGGCCTAAATCCTTAACACTGAGTTCAATCACATATTCACACTGAAAAAGTATTAGCAGAATAAGCTGTTCCAGAACTGGTTATAAAAAGAAAACAGAGCTTAATTAGCCAGTAACATGTACCACTTTCGGAGGTCTTGTCAAATAAACAGAGTAAAATATCCAAACACTACTCTTAATAACTTACACTCATAAATATAAACAACAAAAGTGTAGGGAAGTTTAACTTTGCATATCTTACCTAAATTTAAATTCAGAAAGTTGAACGCAAAACCCTTTGGTTGCATAACTTCAAACCTTTTGTTTTAATGCATTTTTGTTTGTCTCAAGAGGATATGACATTATGAGCTATATTAATGCCCTTCAGACGCCATGGTCCGTCAAATCCAATTGTACGTTTGTACATTAGGCTATGGAGAAGCAGGGAAAGACATTATATATATATATATATATAACAATTATCCGACAGATTTGGTGGAATTATTGTATATCTAGATATCTATTTCACTCTGAGAAAACTATCTCTTCCCATAAACTCTGATATGACATATTTTGATTTCTTGGATTATAGGTTGCCCAAAAGAAGCACTGAAATATAACCTAGGCTACCCTACATTTGAACTGTTCAAGAAATCAAAATTAGCTTGCAGTTGGAATTATGGAGGAGTTTTTAGAAGATATGGATAACTTGTATATCAACTGCTTGTGTATGAAGTTAGTTATGTTCTTTTTTAAGATGGTGTGTAAGATAGTTTTAGGAGATGGCTTCTCCCATCCTAGCCTTGTTTTACAAATGTGGGCCTATTTGAATAAAATAAAAAATTAAGAATTGAATTCCATGTTTGTTCGAGGTGAATTATGGCATGACTTATATGGAGGCCAACTTAAAATATTATGCATAGGAAGAACAGTAGACAACAGCATAAATGAGAAATTTTGCATTGAAATTTTACAGGGACAAACTTTGAAGTTGCATTTTTATCATGTATCAGTTCTTCAAACAGCATCCCCCATAGCAGAGGCTTAAGGCAAGGGGACCCCTCTCCCTGCTACTGTTCATTCCTGCTTTCGACCCGTTGCAGCGTTTGCTTCAATATGACACAAATGCTGGCTTAATTCAACGCCTCAGAGGGGCTTTTGCAAAGCAACGTACTTCCATGTATGCAGATGACGTTGTGGTCTTCATCAGGCCAATCAAGGAGGAGCGAGATGAATGTGTTTGCTCAAATTATGCATCTCTTCGGGGAAGTTACTGGTCTGCAAGCAAACTTGCAAAAAAACCTCAATAGTGCCCATCAGATGTCAATACATCGATCTTGATAGCGTCCTCTTTGGTTTCCCAGCACCAAGGAAAACTTTTCTACAAAAAAAAAAAAAAAACCTTGGCTTATCACTCTCAGTACACAAACTGCAAAAGGTTGATTTCCAACCACTCTTGGACAAAGCATCAGGAACTTATCAGGCTGGAATGGAAGGAACATCACACAAGCTGGAAGGGGAATCCTTGTCCATCTGTGCTGACGTCACAATTGGTGTACTTCTTAACTGCTCTAACACCCCCAAACCACCCCCCCACACACACCCCCAAAGAGGTCATGGATATCCTAGATAGAAATAGAAAGATTTTTTTCTGGCCAGGTGAGAGGGAGCTCCACAGGAGGTAACTGCAAAGTAAATTGGCTTAGATCTTGTCGGCCACCGAAACTTGGGGGCATCGGTCTTCTGGATCTTGACAAATTTGCGAGAGCTCTACGTCTAGGTTGTAAAGTAATCTGCTGCTCCCTCACCTGTATGCGCGGCAGGGGCAGGCGCCGAAAGGCTCCCTTGCCACACTGTAGCCACAGTAGGGGCAGGCACAAAAGTCAGCCCTGCTGTCACATCTAGTCACAGTAGCAACATGACAGTGGCATGTCTGTGTACTAGGATTAGATAGGTAGAGTTGTATATATAACTTCCCAATGCAACTCAGTAAAGTTGAGCGAGTTCAGTTTTGCCATCTCCTCTGCAGAGCTCTGGCCAACGCTGGTGCTTGTGCTGTGTGTGTGCGCGCTCTGTTCTTCCTCCCTTCTTCTACCTCCGGCCGTAGTGTGTGTGGTCGGCAACGACGGTGAGCGGTCGGCTCACCCATGTCGGAGCTCTCGGGACCAACAAGTGGTATCATCGCCGTACAAGCGCCATCGCCGTACTAACCACTGGCGATGACGGACGGTTTGGAGATGGGCAACAGCAGCGGCGTTGCTGTGGCTGTCCAGCCACGACAGGAGATTACCGTGCGTACGGTGCGGGAGGTCAGCGGCACCAGTTGGCCAACGCTGACTCGCACCAACTATGGCGAGTGGGCGGTGACCATGAAGGTCAAGCTTAGAGCCCGACGGCTCTGGAATGCCATTAACAAGGGCACCGACAATAAAGACGACGACATGTCAGCGTTGGAGGCTATCCTCGCTACTATGCCAGCGGAGTACAGGGAGCCGTTGGGGCGAAGAACTCTGCTAAAGAGCGTGGGAGGCCATTGTAGCGATGCGCGTCGGCTTCGACCGCGCAAAGAAGGCGACGGCCTAGCTGCTGAAGCAGGAGTACGCCACCCTCAAGTTCAAGGATGGTGAGTCGGTGGAGGACTTCTCCCTCCGCCTGCAGTCACTCATCAGCAAGCCGAGGAGCCACGGTGTCACCATCGATGAAGAAGAGGCGGTCTTCATGTACCTCCACTCTGTGCCGGTGAAGCACATCCAGATCGCTCCCTCTATAGAGACGATGCTGCACTTGTCCACCCTCACCATATAGGATGTGACAGGCCGTCTGCGAGCGGTGGACGAGCGCATGAAGCAGGACATAGCAACGACGGACAGCGGCAAGCTGCTGCTGACAGAGGAGTGGACTGCCCAAAAGAAGTTCGGGGAAGCCACGTCCAGCCGCGGTGGCGATGGCAAGCGCCGCGACAAGGCTTCTTTAGAGAAGAAGAAGAAGGTCGACCCCAACGCTTGTCGGTGCTATGGGAAGACGGGCCATTGGGCAAAAGAGTGCCCAAATCACAAGTAGGAGAAGAAGGCTGAGGCTCATTTAGCGCAGGCTGATGAGGATGATGAGGACACTCTCCTGATGGTGACGTTATGTGCATTGCACGATGTTGAGGCCAAGGAGAAGGGAGAGGTGATGGTGGTGAAAGGGCATGGCAAGGCTCTGAAGGTTGTCAACCTCGACGAACCACGCGCCCAAGTCCACCTCGGATGTGTGGGCGGCGAACAGCAACCACATGACGGGCTCCAAGGAAGCCTTCTCCGAGCTCGATGGTAACGTGACCAACACGGTGAAGTTTGGTGACGGCTCAACGGTGGCGATCTGAGGGCGCCGCACCATCATTTTTAGGTGCCAGAACAGAGAGCACCGCGCGCTGATGGATTTGTATTACATCCCACAGCTGTGTTAAAGCATCGTCAGCATCGGGCAGCTGGACGAGCTTGGATGCGAGGTACTGATCGAGAGTGGGATCCTAAAGATTTGGGATCAGGAGCGGCGTCTTCTCACGAAGGTAAAACTCTCACATAATCGATTATACCTGCTCGACTTGAAGATGGAGCAGCCAGTGTGCCTAGCAGCACGGCACATTGAGGAGCCATGGTTGTGGCATGCCTAGTTCGGCCATCTCAGCTTTGACGCACTTGGTCGGCTAGAGAAGATGGTCCAAGGGCTGCCCCACATCAAGCACGGAGGTGAGCTGTGTGACAGCTGCCTGGCCGTGAAGCAGAGGAGGCTGTCGTTCCCAAAGACGGCCAAGTATCGCACGGTGGACACTCTCGAGCTCATCCACGGCAATCTCTGCGGGCCAATCACGCCAGCCACAAATGGTGGTTGGTGGTACTTCCTCCTGCTCGTGGATGATTGCAGTCGCTATATGTGGCTACAACTCCCGATGATCAAGGACGAGGCGGCCGAGGTGATCAAGAAGTTCAAGGTGCGTGCAGAGGCGGAGAGCGGCAAGAAGTTGCGCGTGCTGCGGACTGATCGTGGTGGCGAATTCACTTTGGTGGAGTTCATTGTGTACTGCGTGGATCAGGGTGTGGTGTGACACCACACTGCATCGTACTCGCCACAACAGAATAATGTGGTGGAGCGGTGGAACCAGACGGTGGTCGGCATGGCTCGATCCATGATGAAGGCCAAGAGCATGCCGGCAAGGTTTTGGGGTGAGGCGGTGACCACGACGGTGTTCATCCTCAACCGCGTGCCCACCAAGGCCCTGATGGGCAAGATGTCGTTCAAAGCTTGGTATGGGCACAAGCCGAGCGTGTCCTTCCTCCGGACATTCGGCTTCATCGGCCATGTCAGGAAGACAAAGCCGGTCCTCACCAAGATGGAGGATAGGAGCACACCGATGATGATCCTAGGCTACGAGGAAGGTACCAAGGCATACCGGCTCTGTGACCCACGTGAAGGCAAGGTGGTTGTCTCGCGCGACGTCATGTTCGATGAGATGGTGGCCTAGGACTGGGACAGTCCAGGCACGGGAGAAGCTGGCAGCTTCACCAGCACCTTCGTCGTTAAGCACTTGGTCATCCATGGTGGTGGAGACGCTGGAGAGGAGGTGCCGACCACTCCAGCAACAGAGCCGAGCACTCTTGGGGCGGTGCTGAGCACTCTAGGAGGGGTGCCGAGCACTCCAGGAGTGGTGCCGACCACTCCAAGACTGGTGCCGAACGCTCCCGTAGCAGAGCCGAGAGGTCTTGCAGTGGTACCGACCACTCCAAGACTGGTGCCGAGCACTCCTACAGTGGTGCCAACCACTCTAGGAGTAGTGCTGAGCACTGCAGCTAGGGTGCTGAGCACTCCAGGTGATGTGCTAACCACTCCGGTGGAACATGGGACTCCGTCGACGCCGATCGAGTTCACCTCACCTCCAAGCGGAGTCACTGAGTTCGTGGATGCCTTCCACGACGGTGAGGAGGTGCGGTTCTGTAGGCTGGACGACATCATCAGCGGCATAGGGTCCTCAGGCCTGGCGGATCGGCTGCTTAATGACCCAGAGCTACTTCTCGTCAGTGCAGAGGAACCACCCACGTTCGTGTTGGCCGAGCGCGATGCAAATTGGCGACGAACAATGCTGGAGGAGATGAAGGCGATCGAGGAAAACAAGACTTGGGAGCTCGACAATCCACCTCTAGGATGTCATCTAATCGGCCTAAAGTGGGTGTACAAGGTCAAGCGGGACGAGTGTGGCGCCATTGTCAAGCACAAGGCGCGCCTCGTCGCCCGAGGCTTTATCCAGCGCGAGGGCATCGACTTCGAGGAAGTATTTGCGCCGATAGTGCGCATGGAGTCTATCCAACTGCTGTTGGCTTTGGCAGCAGCGAAGGACTGGCGCGTCCATCACCTGGACGTAAAATCAGCTTTCCTCAACGGCGAGCTGGTGGAGACGGTCTTCGTTAGGCAACCTCTGGGTTTCACCGTCAAGGGAGCGGAGCACAAGGTGCTTCAACTACGCAAGGCGCTCTATGGGCTGCGATAGGCCCCGCGAGCGTGGAACACCAAGCTTGACGCCACGCTGGGCGAGCTTGGGTTCATGCGATGCGCAACCGAGCACGCACTCTACATGCGATGACAGGGAAAGGAGGAGCTCGTCGCCGGCGTGTATGTGGACGACTTGATCGTCACCGGTGCGCGTGCGGAGGACATCGATAGCTTCAAGCGTGAGATGGCAGCTTGTTTTCGAATGAGCGATCTTGGCGCACTCTCCTACTACCTCGACATCGAGGTGAGACAGGGGAAGGAGGCGCTCACGCTCGGTCAGAGCGCGTACGCCTCAAAGCTGTTGGAGCGGAGCGGCATGGCTGAGTGCAAGCTGTGTGTGACTCCGATGGAGGAGCGGCTAAAGCTGACGAAGGCCAGTACCACGACGAAGGTAGATGCAACACTCTATCGGAGCATCGTTGGTGGTCTGCGCTTCCTAGCCCACACTAGGCCGGACATTGCGTTCGCCATGGGCTACATCAGCCGCTTCATGGAGGATCCCAGAGAGGATCAATGGGTCACGGTGAAGCCGCTGCTGCGCTATGTCAAGGGGATGGTGGATCAGGTTATCGTCTTCCCCAAGACCGACGGAAGTGGGCTGTAGCTCACTGTGTTCAGCGATGCAGACATGGCAGGGGATATCGATGGACGGCGGAGCACCTCTGGCGTGCTTGTCTTCCTTGGGTCGGCTCCAATCTCATGGTTGTCGTTGAAATAGAAGGTGGTGACGCTATCCACGTGCAAGGCAGAGTACATGGCGGCGGCCACAACAGTGTGCCAAGCTGTGTGGCTGCGCCGGCTGCTAGGTGAGCTGACGGGTGTGGAAGCTCACCCACCAGCACTGATGGTGGACAACCAGCCCACCATCGCCCTCGCGAAGAATCCAGTTCTCCACGACCGGAGCAAGCACATCGACGTCAAGTTCCACTTTCTCAGGGACTGTATCGATGGAGGGTAGATCGTCATTGAGTTCGTCGAAACTGGTCGGCAACTCGCGGACGTCCTCACCAAGCCACTCGGCCGTCTTCGGTTCACGGAGCTAAAGAAGATGATCGGCATGGTGCAGGTTCTAGGGTTAGCAGAAGGATCAAGGGAAGAATTGTAAAGTAATATGTTGCCCCCTCGCCTGTCGCGCACAGCAGGGGCAGGCGCCAAAAGGGCTCCCTGATGTTGCACTGTAGCCGCGGCAGGTGTCGAAATGCTCTCCTGTCGCACTGTAGCCACAGCAGGGGCAGGCATCAAAATCAGCCCTATTGTCACATCTAGACACTGTAACAGCATGACAATCTGGTATGTTTGTGTACTAGGATTAAATGAGTAGAGTTGTATATATAGCTTCCCACTGCAACTCAGTAAAGTTGAGCGAGTTCAGTTTTGCCATCTCCTCTGCAGAGCTCCGGTCAATGCTGGTGCTTGTGTTGTGTGTGTGCTCTGTTCTCCCTCCCTTCTTCTACCTCCAGCCGTAATGTGTGTGGTCGGCAATGACGGTGAGCGATCGGCTCATCAGTGCCGGAGATCTCGGGACCAACATAGGTTGGCTTTGGCAGGAATGGAAATCTCCCAATGAGATGTGGGTCAGCTCAAGAAACCCATGCACAAAAGTGGATAAGTTACTCTTTGTTGTTTCGACAACAGTTGGGGACAGAAGGAAGGCAAAATTCTGGCATCCAGCCTGGTGGCATGGGCAAAGGCATCAAGACGTCGCACCAACAATCTTCAAGGGCATCACGAAGGAAATACTGCTCGGTGCAAGCAGCTTTGCAAAATAATACCTGGCTACAAGACTTGGACATCCATGGACACATCACGGTGCAATTGATAAAAGAACAGAACTTCAGGAGGTGCAACTCACGCCTGGAGTCAACGACGAAATCACTTGGAATTGGATGGTAGATATTGTCTGTTCACTACAGCTTCTTTGAGGGGTGTTCACTACAGCTTCGGCATACAAGGCACAGTTCCTTGGTTCATCGTGAGTCACTTTTAAAACACTGTTTTGGAAGTCCTGGGGACCGCCAAAATGCATACTTTTTTTCACAATAGGGTTTGGACATCTGACAGACTTGCACAATGGGGATGGACACATAGCCTATCTTGTCCTTTGTGTCACTACACGGTGTGCAAGTCTAAAAAAAAGATTTGTCAAAGTTTTGGCCGAATTTTGCGAATTTTGTTAATATCGGGGTTGGACGAATTTTTTCAATTCCGAAATTAAAAACCCTGCCCGCAAGTATGCTCAAACACTTGGTCTCCCTCTGACAATGTGCTTAAATGGTGGACATCGCCGATGGAAACTTCTGGGATCCCGAAGAAAGGAATTCGTTCTCTAATCGTGCTTATTGTGTGGGAACCGTGGAATGAGAGGATTGCAAGAGTATTTAGGCACAGGGAAGCTTCCACCATTTCACTTCTAAACGAGATCAATGGAGAGGTAGAAGCTTGGTTAATGGTGGTGCGAGGTGCCTTACACCTTGCACTTTTTTTTTGCGGGGAACCTTATACCTCACCTTGGTAGAGTAGTTTTTCAACCCTTCTTTTGTGCTCGAGTGGTTTCTAATCTTTCCAAATTAGCTAACCATATAACTCCTCTTCTTTTATAAATAGAAATTGGCACAGTCTCATGCCTTTCATTAAAAAAAAAAGTACTTCAAACAGCATAAAAAGGAAACCTCAATAGTTGAATAATCATTCATGCTCTCCTTAGACACAGACACAGCACGGTTGAAAGTTCTCTTATTTACTTGACTTTTACGCCAAACATTTTGGAAGCTGAATGTGACGCCTAACGAAGAACCACATGCTGGGGCCAAGCATGCTTTGTGTTGTGGACTTGTGGTAGTGGTACATGGTAGCGGCGAGGGTAGGAATGACATAATTTTAGGGTTCAAACCTACGTCATTTGCATGAACACACTGACTTGACCAGACTCTCAGCCAGAAAACTTGCTCATAAAATTTGCATTGCGACAGTTCTTAAAAACTCAGAACTGCCAATTGGGCAAATAAATACCAAGTGTAACTCCACAATATAACAGCAGCAGGAGTAACAAGTAACAAGTGAGGTTTTCGGGAGAGTTTGAGCCATCGAAGGTAGGTTAACCAAGATGATGTACCACCACCAGCTGAGATCTTGTAGCCGCAGCCTGGCCGCAACGCTCCTCCTGCTCCTTGCCGGCGCCGCTGCCGTTGCCACACCTGAAGCTCCAACGGCGGGAGCAGCCTGCTACAACGACATCGTCGCCCTGCGGAGCACCTGCTACCGCTACGTCCAGGATGAGGGTCCCATGGTGCAGCCATCGCCGCATTGCTGTGCCACCGTGAGGGGTATCGCCAACGCTACCTGCGTCTGCGACTACTTGAGCTCCCTCGACTACATAAACCTGGACAAGGTGTTCTACGTCGCCGGGCAGTGCGCCGTCGCCATCCCCTGGTTCTGCGGAGGTGAGTAGCTTGTGATTTTGGTCAAATACCGTGTAGCCGTGTAGGAACTACGCTGGCTTGCTGGTTCACAATCACAATTGCAACTCAGAGGGTCCGCATATTGGTGTCGGTTTGCTGCTGCTAATCATGCTCAGATTATCTGAGATCGGTAAGAGAAGTAGAAGTAATGATATGCTAGAATAAAACAACACTACAACTTGCTACTAGGAATATAGGATATCATGTGGAAATTTCGAGTCAATGACTGATCTCAAGATCAGGAACTGTCCAATTGGGATAAAAAAGAGTGGGGGTATTGTTGGGTCATTCAAGGCATAGGGAATTACTACGGGCTATATATAGGTGAACTAATGTAATCTTATTTTGAGCTGGCCGCAAAATTAAGGTGCTACTTCGATGTTATTCTCATTTTTTTTTGTTACAGATTAAAAGCAGGTTTGAGAAAGAACAGACTTGGTGGATCGGAGGCGTCGGCTAACGACATACGCGAGGCAGCTCCTAATAATGAATAATCAAACTGTAGTTAGGTCTTAGGAGATATTGGAGTAAGGATTGTAATTGTATTGGTGTTCACCTATGTAAACTTACTTCCATTTTCACAAGAAATTGTCTCATATACATGTCAATGTCTGAAAGTATTCCGACAAACAGCATGTTCGCTTGCTTATTTCAGCCAGAGCTTATCCGACATGGTACAGTATTTTCCTCTCACAACAAACCAGTACCAGCCGGGCTTATCAGTCCAAAAACCAATCAGCGAACATGCTGAAATAATTGAGTAAATGCGATAGACCTAACTCCAAGCCATCAAGCAGTGGCACAGCAGGCGAAACTCCAAGCCTAAGATTTTTCATAATGAGCACACATATCTGATAGTTTACATGAACAACACAAGTCAGAAGATATTTCAATTCCACAAACATTTCGCATTTGTACATCAAACATGATAGCAATCGAACCTCAATCTATACATGAAAATTTGGACATTGAAAGTCAATAGGAGATGCAATATAAGACACTTTATCAGTGAAATTTAATGATAGGAAACACAACATACATGAGAATAAATGGATTTCAATGTCTTACTCCTTTTCGCTGTGTAATTTAGGAAAAGTTTACAAATTGCAGCACAAATAAACCATAAATTCAGCTAGTTGAATTGAAAATTTAAAATAGAGAGGATTGAACTTGGACATAGGGACAACCTGATTGGGGGAATGCAATTAGGAGAAATGAGGAGTGGAACACTAACATGCTTCACTACTTGGTTGCCCCCAAACATCATGTCCAGCTTGGGCCATCACTACTAAAGGTCCAGTCACGCTTCTTGACGACTGAGAGTGACCAAAGGAGGGAGTGCAAGAGCTGTGGACTTTTGTGGTGGACGATTTTTGGATGTAAGGATTAGGAATATTTGCTTGAATTAGCCTATGACTTGATGACTCGGCTTGTTACTGGTGGACTTTTGTTACTATGCTGGACACTTTTGTTACTATGCTGGACCATGCCTCTAACCATTTTATAGGAAGGTTGATTGGGCCATAGAGAAGTAATGGGGGTATAACCACGCCTCGACCTGTGATTGATGGACTTTTGATGCTACGCTAGACAACGCCTATGACCCTAGTGTGGCCCTAGGCATTTATCGGCCCTGCCATCAAGCTTTCAGACAACTACGAAGGTGAATGTTGCATCAAGCGATAGTCCGCAGTACAAGCATTAGACAATAATACGCAAGCCATTTTCTGTTGATATTCAAGCAGCTCAGAACCTTCCACAGGAACCAATTTCTCAGAAGAAATGACTGGAACGTTCGCCTAGAGTATTTGGACTGTCGTCTGAACTGTCTGCCATTCAAATGTATTGAATATGGTATTTGTCTTATGGTTGCATGATACACAGTACAAAAGTAGAAACCTCTTTCATGCCATCTTGAGAATCTGGCACCTACGTATATCGTCGGTCATTCAGGCAAGTCTTAGTGGGAAATTTCATGTTTTATTAGTTTTCAAGACGTGATAGCCTTGCAAACTGAGAATAAATGAAATAGATTCTCTCAATACATAGCTTCATAGCTGCAGCATTTAATTCATGCATTATGTTATGATCACATACTCCCTCCGTATATCTTTTAGAGGTCGTTTTGGACAGGTTTACGTATACCAAGGTGTGTTTAATTTGGGTCTAATCTTCCATGTTTGTCCTTATTAAATAGGGTGTTGAGTAGGATCCTAATAGAAATCTCTCTCCGATGGATTGGTTAGTGTAGTCTGTGTTAATGCTGCAGTCCTAAGTTCGATTCCCTAGGCTGCATGTTTTTTCGCTTTGCTGCCTTTTTTGCATGGTTTTTAATGGCGCTGCAGCTTTTTTCTGTTTCGTGTGTTGCTGGCTGCCGTGGACGGAGGGCGCGGGTAGCTTTTCCCTTCCGCGCTGTGCTGGCTGCCGCGATTTTTTTGCTTCGCTACCTTTTTTGCATGGCGCTGTTGCTTTTTTCTTCCGTTTCGCGCGTTGCTGGCTGCCGCAGGTAGCTTTTTCCGTTTCGCGCTGTGCTTGTTGCCGCGGATGGAGGGAGCGTTCCGAGCGGGAGAGGGCGCGCTCCGTTTTTTCACCGTCGTTTTGCATGCCTATAAATACCGTAGGAACATGTCTCAACAGTGCACCTCAACCAAATCAAAATGGCGCGGCGGCGAGGCGAGCGCGCGCGGCGAGGCGAGCGGGCGCGGCGGCGAGGCGAGCGAGCGAGATGCTGAGGGCCGCAGCGCTAACGAGGGTCAAAACGGATTTGGAAACCGAGGGTCGCGGCGCGCATTAACTCGAAACGGATTTGGAAACCGATGAGTCAGGGGCAAAGCCGTCTCCTTTGGCCAGCGCGGGGACGAACGACTTGTATTGTGCAACTCGAACGAACGCCCAGAACGACCTCTAAAACATATACGGAGGGAGTATGTCATTTGAACTATGTAACCATTTGATACTGTAATAAATATTACCATATTAGACTATGGTAATATTGGTAAATAAATATGTTTTATCATACATGACCATATCTTATATTTAAAATTTCACATCAACAAATAAACATTGTAAATGAAAATTGCGCTTATATTTTTGTCCTAGCTGGAGCACGACATCGGAAGAGATGAAACAATCAGTCTCAGTGTAGATTTTATTTTCTTTCCAAGGCTTTAGAAACAACGCCGACAAGTTTCATATTCATGAAACCATGTTTCTTCCCCTCTTTTTATTAAAACTTTGCTAAGTCACCATTTTGATGAGTTATTATCCTATTTAATACCCATATAAACTCTAATGGTACGAGACTGAACTAAGGAATCGTCGGACGTATTTACTCACAGCCATGATAACCGAGAGGATAATGATGCCTAGCCTGGCCCTGTTTGGATCAGTTTCGGATTCTTAAAAACAAGCTTTTATCTCTAGTATCTAAAATCTGGATTCTAAGCAAAAACTGATGAGGTGTTTGGATCCTTCTAGTTTTTAAAATCTAACTTTATTTATTGTTCATTGGGTCACAAGAAACTAATAAAAACTAGGCATCAATGGTTTCTTGGTTTTTAAGAATCTGATAAAAACTAGCAGCAAAAACTGGCCTGTTTGGATCCCACCAAGTTTTCAAAAGCCAGATCTAAAAAACTGACAAAAACTGAAGGGATCCAAACATGGCCAGGTTACTCAGAGTGCAAGGTTTATTTTTAAGTCACAAAAAAAAAAGAGTGCAAGGGTTGGCGGCCGCTTGGTCTCGGTGCCAACAGAGGCTAGACATGCTGGCCCGCTCACATCATGTGGGAACGACGCTGACATGCCATCCGGTGCCTGCAGCCGCTGGCGTGGCTACGATCCGGTGCCTGCTGGAGTTGCAGCGGCGAGTGGTAACTGCTGCTCAACTCCCATGAATTAAGAGGGTCACACTTATGGCATTTGCAAATGCAGTGCTTAAGCAAAACACGCACCCTGAAAACAGTTCACAAAATTCGCATTGCAATGGTTCCCAGGAACCACAAAATCGCCATCTACCAAATCAACATTCAGAGGGAACCCTAAACCAGGTCTAAGCAATGCAACAGATACTATAAATACCAGCTGCCATCCAAGGTCTTGGATGCACAAAATTTATTACTTACAACAAGAATACTCCTACTAATCAATAGGGAAAGTCCCAGTCCACCAAAAGAGTACACGGAGATGTCCCAGCTGAGGAGCCCTGCTGGCCGCCTGGCCGCGACGTTTCTCCTCATCCTCCTTGCCGCCGCCACAGCATTCTCAGCTCAACTATCTCCTCATGACCCACAAGCCCCAGGCTCAGGCTGCCAGAATGACATCGACGCACTGTGGAGCAGCTGCAAGAAGTTCGTCCAGAAGGAGGGGCCCAAGCAGCCTCCGTCCGAGGAGTGCTGCAAAACCATCAAGGCCACAGATGCCGATGCGTCCTGCATCTGCGACTATCTGGGCTCCCCGGACGCCAGGAACAAACTAAGCCTGGAGAAGGTGTTCTACGTTACCAAACAGTGCGGCGTCACCATCCCTAAGGGCTGCGGTGAGCAGCTTGGTCAATGGTCTCATGTGGGAACAGATGCTGACAATGACATGCTGGCCAGTTAACAGTAGCAACCAGAGCGGGTCCCGCATGTCAACGTCAGTCACCTTCGTTTCCCACATGGCATGATCATGGGCAGATAATATTCTATCACCAATCAGACAAGTAAACAGGGGTATTTACAAGGATAGCGCAACTTGCCACTAGGGTAACATAGCAAAACAATCTACTCACCAACTGGTGTCAAGAGCAAGAATTGCTCAACTCAACTGCATAAAAAATAAATTGTTAGATTTTCAAACCTCTGGTAGTTATGGGCTATATTATACATTGATTAAGCAGTACAAATCTCGTCTGTTATCATTGCTTCTACTGGCCTAATTTTGTGTCCTTTTGCACAATAGGATCAAAGCAGGTGGCCTGAAGAACGAACTGGCCGAATCTGAATGGAGCAAGTTGGCTAACATACGCAATGCAGCTACAAATATTTAAAGCAATAAATAAAGTTGGTCAACTATTGGTTGGATGATGTTGGAGTAAAAGAACTGTATTATTATTCACATATATAAACTCTAGTTCATCACATAATATAAATCTGTACGGAAGCCGAAAAACATAGATGGCTCATGGGACTGTTGGAGAGGCTTATTTTCTTCCTACCATCCAGTTTCTGATTCAACATAAACAAAAGCAAAAAGGAACAAGTACAAATATCCATATTAAAAACCAGCATACTTACAATTTGGATTTTATTCCACAGAGAATGATTGCTCAAGTTTATTTCAGTCAACAGTTTGGTCTTCTTGCATAATATTTTCTCAAACTAGTTAAAGACTGTAATTTTGACAGCAACATGTGGGCTCTAGTATGCGTAATTGTATTGAACAAATGCTGCAAATGAGGAGACCATATTATGCCTACCAGGATACCAAATTGCTGATTTTCCTTACTGAATGAGAATGTTGTTCTAAATATAACTACTATAAGCAAAATCTGTTTCTATAATAACTTCAGACAGGGTTACAAAGGGAACAAGCGCAACCATGATGGGAACATTTTTGGGGAACAAACAGAATTTTTGAAAATTGGATAAATCCAATTCTGATGAACAAGTAGAAGATCTCTGAAATACTTCCGGAACTTTTATTTATCAATATATGTCCAATCTTGACTAGTAAAATATACTGCTAATATTTAAAACAATCACACTTAGAGATCCAGCAAACAAAATACATTCACAGATGCAGGGCAACCAGCAACCGTGTCTATATTTGGCAAACAGGGACTGCCAGCCTGGTTTTGATTACAAACAATTTTCTTGGAATTATGCAGCTACAAGCCTATAATTTCTCATTGACTTTGCTCAACACACTCACAAACATAACAAAAGTAAGATTTCTGAACAAAGTTGAATTCATGTCATAATACTATAAATTTGGAGAAATAAGAGATAGAATTAATTTACAAAACTACAACTATCCTGACCATTGTAACAAGGAACCACAACTATGGTGCCGATCATGAAACCACAGCTACTAGTGCCCTTGGTAACAAGAAACTACTACTGCTAGAAAACCGTAACAGAACAGGGGCATGGACCCTCCTGTCAGCCTAATACTGCAGTAGCAACCCCATTAGAGTTGGCACACTGTTTCATTACGATTTTTATAAAAGCTGTAGTTCCTTCGCACTGAGCGCACAAGCAGCTGTGATCTTGTGAAACAGACACCAGGAACTATAGTTACTTGATGCTATAGTCAGAACAGTTATAGTTTTGTATTAACTCTAAGAAGATATAAAAGACAGAAAAATTCATGGCCAATATGTACTGTTTCAAAGTCTCATGAATAATATAATTCAATAACCCCAACCAATTTCATAGACAAATAGATGACTTCATATGTACAGTTTGGTCTTCTTCCATAATAATTTCTCAACCTAGTTAAAGACTGAAATTTTGACAGCAACATGTGGGCTCTAGTATGCGTAATTGTATTGAACAGATGCTGCAAATGTGGAGACCATATTATGCCTACCAGGATACCACTTAATTGCTGATTTTCCTTACTGAAGGGTTACAAAGGGAACAAGCACAACCATGATGGGAACATTTTTGGGGAACAAACAGAATTTTTGAAAACTGGACAAATTCAATTCTGATGAACAAGTAGAAGATCTCTGAAATACTTCCGGAACTTTTATTTATCAATAGTTATCCAATCTTGACTAGTAAAACATACTGCTAATATTTAAAACAATCACACTTAGAGATTCAGCAAACTAAATACATTCACAGATGCAGGGCAACCAGCAGCCATGTCTATATTTGGCAAACAGGGACTGGCAGCCTAGTTTTGATTACAAACAATTTTCTAGGAATTATGCAGCTATATCCTACAATTTCTGGTTGACTTTGCTCAAAACACTGACAAACATAACAAAAATGAAATTTCTGAAGAAAGTAGAATTCATTTCACAATACTGTAAACTCGGTGGAATAAGATATAGAATTAATTTACAAAACTACAACTATCTTGACCATTGTAACAAGGAACCACAACTATGGTGCCCATCATGAAATGATGAAACCACAGCTACTAGTGCCCTTGGTAACAAGAAACTACAACTGCTAGAAAACCGTAACAGAACAGGAGCATGGACCCTCCTGTGTACCTAATACTGCAATAGCAACCCCATTAGGGCCGACACACTGTTTCATTACAGTTTTTATTAAAAGCTGTAGTTCCTTCGCACTGAGTGCACAAGTTGCTGTGATTTTGTGAAATGGACACCAGGAATTATAGTTTCTTGATGCTATAGTCAGAACAGTTGTTGTTTCGTATTAACTCTAAGATACACACAACAAAAAAATAATGGCCAATATGTTCTGTTTCAATGTCTCATGAATTTATAATTCAATAACCCCAACCAATTTCATAGACAAATAGATGACTTCATATGTACAGACTAAAATGTAACATACCTCACAAGAGCAATCACAGATGATGGAAATAATCCTACTCTAATTACACATTGCAGCAAAGAACTACTAACCCATGCCAATGATCCCGTTTCCAACATCACCTGGAGGCCCTGGACTGGAACAGCTCGAGCCTCCCTTTGGCATCTGGAAGCAACACCTCAACACGCACGTCCTGCACCATGTGAACCTGCTTTGATGCCCAAAGAAGCACGGCTAGCACACCAGCTTGTGCAAGTTCCTCGCTCTCAGGCACATACAATGCAATGTAACAGAGTAGTATGAGCGCCTCAATCTGCACCTCGTCGCCAAGGTACACAAGCTGGACAAGGTGGCGCGCACCACCTTCATCAACAATGGCCTTGCAGTGGTTCACATGTAGGTGGTTCTCAGTGCACGCAAACTTGGTGAGCGCAACAACAGCCTCCTTTATGACTGGAGGCTCACGCTCATCGAGAAGCTGCACAAGAGGGGCCACTATCCTGGTCTCACTAGCTGTGAAGGTACGGGCAAGGCAGCCAAGGGCAGTGATGCATGGGAGAAGCAATGCATCGTATTCACCCCTGCGGACAACACGAAGCAGCTGATCAACAACAGCCTTGGCTGCTGGGAAGCTGGGTTTGAATGCTGATTGCCGCAGCACGAGGCTGTGTTCAGCGACACGGGCAATCTCCATGATGGCCATTGCTGAGAAGTACTGCACATCAGTGTCCATATCGCCATCACCCTTCTCAAGCAGCACAGCAAAGCACAGTAGTGCACGTGACTCTGTAATGCTCTTGCACACACCCAAATGGTTATGAGCAAGCTTCCACAAAGCTTTTGCCGCCATAGCCTTCAAATGTGCCTTGGTTTCAGGATCCTCCGCCTCACGAGCACCACGGCCACTGGAGCCACTGGTGCCCAGCTGAGGCCTGAACGGCGGAACCAATGAGCCATTTGTGTTTGTCTTGGCTGCCATAGCCGAGTGTACCACCAACTGCATTTGGGGGTTCCTTTTTGTGTCTTGATCGCCTTCTGGTGTTCCATTGGACATCCTTGGCGGCTCATCGGCGCCACTGCTGGATATGTCCCGGTCACCGCTGTGGTACATGCTCAGCGTCTTGGCAAGCACCACTGAGTGGAGTGACTTCATGGGCTGCTGTGTTGTGGCAGCAGCGGCTGCGCTGTTCTTGGAGGTGCTGGAGCCGACGGAGTACCGGCTGTGCTCCTGGATAGTCCCGGAAGCGAGGTGTCCAACAAGGTACCGGACGGCATTGTTCTGCGCAAAAAGGTCCTGGCAGGTGGAGCTCCAGTCAGCCAGGGACGCGATGGCCTCCGCCACAGCAGCCTGCACGCGCATGGGCGGTTCCTTGAGCGCGGCGACGAAGGAGGAGCAAACCCTGGCCTGCACGAGCTTGTCGACGCTCTCGGCGTCACAGCCCAGGAGGCCCAGGGCGCGTGCGGCGGCCTCCTGGCCCTCGTCGGTGCCGTCCTTGAGCAGCTTGAGCAGCGGCGGCACGCCGTCCTCCTCGATGATGAGGTTGGCGAAGTGTTGGCTGTGGCGGGCGAGCGAGGCGAGGATGGCCGCCGAGTCAGTGCGGGCGTCGGGGGAGCCCCTGTGCAGGCGCGCGACATGGTCCCAGATGAAGAAGAGGATGGGCTGGTTCTGCGCGATGTTGGGGAGGCCCAGGAGCGAGTCGTCGTCCCCGTCGCCGGTGGCGCCAGGCGAGGAGATGCGGAGCAGCCACGCGACGTCCTCGAGCGCCGTGTCGAGCGCCGTCAGGGCCCGGGGGAACCCGGCGGCGGGGATGAGCGTGAAGAGGCTGCGCAGGCGCGGGTGGCCCCGAGCGCAGCGGGCGGCGAGGGCGGAGGCTCTAGACAGCGCCTGGGTGGCCCCGGCCAAGATGCGGGCGGCGGGGCGGTCGTAGAGCTCCGGCGCCCGCGCCGCCTGCCGCAGCAGCGCCGCCAGCTTGTCGGCGCCGGTCTTGAGCTCGGCGCACTCGAAGCGGAAGCTCCGCGCGGCAGCGCACTGCTTGGAGACCTCGTCGGCCAGCTGGATCGGCGGAGCCAGCATCTCCTTCACCCCCTCCCCCATCTCCGCTC